TTTAATATTTAGAGATAAAATAATTATATATTTTTTCTAAAATAATTATATATATTCTCTAAAGATCTTAGCAAAAATAAATTAGTATAAAATTTAAATAATACTTTAAAATTTTATACAAATTTATTTTTACTAAGAAATTAATTGCTATATGAGCGCATGCAGTTTGTTGAAAAATAATCATACAATTATGAAAATATAATTTTTGTAAGCATTGAATTTTGAACCCATTATTTAATTATAGATGTAAGATAATTATGTATTATCTAAAATAATTATACATTTTTTTATAAAATATATAATTCTAAAATAATTATGTATATTCTCTAAAGATCTTAGTAAAAATAAATTTGTATAAAATTTTAAAGTAATTTTTAAGTAACTCTCCTTTTATTTAAATTAGATAAAAGATGAGTTATTTAAAATTAGGTGAAATGATTTTACATGTTCTCTAGAATTATTATATATATTCTCTAAATATCTTAGCAAAAATAAATTTGTATAAAATTTTGAAGTGATTTTCTAAATTAAATAAAAGGAGAGTACTTAAAATTTGGAGAGAGAGAGAGAGAGAGAGAGAGAGAGATAGAATAATTATACATATTCTCTAAAATAATTATATATATTCTCTAAAGAAGATCTTAGCAAAAACAAATTTGTATAAAATATTTTAAAATGATTTTTAATTTGTTAAAAGTAGACAAAAGAAGAGTTATTTAAAAATTATTTTGAAATTTAAAAAAAAATGACTTTAAAATTTTGTGTGAATTTATTTTTGCTAAGGTCTTTTTTAGAGAATATATATAATTATTTGAAAGAATATATGTAATTATTTTAGAAATAATTTTGGATATGTATAATTTTTTTATATCTAATTAAATAATGGGTACAAAATTTGATGATTACAAAAATTATATTTTCAAAATTACATTATTATTTTTCAGCTAATTGCATGCGTTTATGTAGCAATTATTTTTTAAAGTAATGATTACTTCTTTACTATATGTTCTAATTTGAATTTTAATTTATTTGTTACAGAATCAACATAGCGACGTTGCAGGTGTAACTCCACTGTGCGCATCAGGTCGGTGAGTGATAAATCAACATTTTTATTGGGGTAACGGATGTATAACGGATAATTTTAGTGATATTGTATATTATGTACATACCTGAATACATGTATGCATGGATTTAATAATATACGGATAAATATATGTATAGCATTGCATACATCCGTTTCCTTAAAATCAAAAAGTTAAAACTGATTAGGATAAATTTATGTCTGATTCTCTGGCGAATTTTATAAATCCATCGAATTTTCAAAGATTAGCGGTAGGAAATAGAGAAATTTTAAAAAACTAAACTTGAAGGGGAAATTAAGCAGGATAATGTGACAAAGTGTAAACTTATAACAAGAACATTGATTTCTTTATTCGCACAATTGTAAACTTATGCTACAACATGTTACTTTATTAAAAATTAAATAATCCTTATATGTGTATGTGTGTGTGTGTGTGCATGTGTGAAATAAATATTTTAACAAATGTAAAGAAAATAACGCTCTCCTCCGTTCGCCGTTCATATACTTATCGTGTATCGAATACAACTGAAAGCAAGATTATGGAATACGATTAAGAAAAATTTATAGAAATTCGATTTTGCTTGATTATATTTAAAAAATGTCAATTGTATTAAGTCGAAAACATAAAAAAACATACGCCTTTTTGTACGCTTCTTGTACATGATTCTATATCCACATTCTCTGCATCGAGTTGCATCTTTGGCACGAATCTCATTATCGTGATGACATTCTAAAATAATGAGTGAAAAACTTGATTAACGATGTAAATAAGGTAAAAAAACGAAAATAGTTTTTCGTTACAATTTATCTTAATAATTACTATATATATCATGTTCGACAAAATTTCTCTACTTAGAAAGCGCTTTAAAATGCAATTTATCGATTTTCATAAACAATTGATATAAGTTTATAAGATGTTAAAGTCTTAAAACTTTTTAAATAAACATATAAATGTGAATAATTTAATGAAAATTGACAAGCAACGATATTAAAAATTATTTATTAAAATGTGAGATTAGAAATAGTTATCAACATGCGTGTCCTTACCTCCACAAATGTATACCATAGCTTGTTTCGGGATAGATTCAGATTTACCAGACTCCATTTTAACACTGTTGTGACATAATAAACAAATTGATTTTTTGATTTCAATAAATCTTCGTTACCGTAAAATACACAACATATTATTGTCAATGAAATTGCAGTACGACCAAATATGATGCAGTTAGAAGACTTTAACCGACTAAGACCGACTTACCGACTATCGATTGGGAACTTTTATTGTAGTATCGCGCGCTCACGACAGAGAGAAACCTGAGAAAGCGAGGACATGAGTCTTTAGCATTGTTCATGTTGTCTCTCGGGAGCTGCTCGGATTGCTCCGAATGAAATCAGTGTATTTGAAATGTAAGATTCATGCGATATTCGTCATACACCTGACATTTATGATGAATGCAGAATGTCGTATCCGTGCGACCGTGCAGCTCTCGAGAGACAAACCAACAATACTATTTAAATTTATACGAGCGCGCTGTTACAATAAAAATTACAATAATCGATAGTCGGTAAGTCAGTCCTAGTCGGTCAAAGTCGTTCTTGCAATTGCATCGTATCGTTTAGTCGTATTGCAATTTCGTTGACAACAGGATGGTGTGCATTCTGCGATAAGGAAGATTTATTGTAACCAAAAAATCACTTTTTATATCAGTTTATATACATCAGTTTATTATATATCACATCAGTATTAAAATGGAGTCTGGTAAATCTGAATCTACTCCAAAACAAGCTATGGTATACATTTGTGGAGGTAAGAACACGCATGTGACTTTTCTAACCTCACAATTTAGTAAATAATCTCTTAATATCATTGCTTGCAATTTTTATTAAATTATTCACATTTGTATGTTTATTTAAAAAGTTTTAAGCCTTTAACATTTTATAAAATATAATATATAATTATATCAATTGTTTATGGAAATTGATAAATTGCATTTTAAAGCGCTTTCTAAGTAGAGAAATTTTGTCGAATATATATATTTTTTGATATATATAGTAATTATTAAATTGTAACGAAAAACTATTTTCGTTCTTTTATTTTATTTACATCGTTAATCAAGTTTTAACTCATTATTTCAGAATGTCATCACGATAACGAGATTCGTGCCAAAGATGCAATTCGATGCAGAGAATGTGGATATAGAATCATGTACAAGAAGCGTACAAAAAGGCGTATGTTTTTTTATGTTTTCGATTTAATACAATTGACACTTTTTAAATATAATCAAGCAAAATCGAATTTCTAGAAATTTTTCTTAATTATATTCCATAATCTTGTTTTCAGTTGTTGTATTCGATGCACGATAAGTACATGAGCAGCAAACGATGGAGAGCAGCATTATTTTTTCTTTACATCTGTTAAAATATTTATTTCGCATATAAGGATTATTTAATTTTTAATAAAGCAATATGCAGCATTTTACCGGAAATTAACTTTATTCCTATCCTACATTATTTCCCGCGCCCAAAGTTGTACTATCGTTCCTGCAAGATCATCATACAAAGACGCATTCGCGTATTATCACTCTTCGTACAATTTGCATTAGAATCCCTGGATCCGATGGATATTCCATCTAATAGAATTTGTTTCATGCGTATCGATTCAGTCTATATAATATACAAAATGCTTTAAGCAATGTTCCTTTTATTTACAATAAATAAAAATTACATTCTCATCATAATATAATTTAACAGAATTCACAGAGGAAGAGAAATGACGGTGACACTGGCAAAACAAGTTGGCGTTATTACCATAAATCCCGTTGTCACTTTCTCAAGTATACGCTTATAAAATTTTCACTCCGGTCCCATTGTCTGATATATACATGTATACGAGCGTAAACGCTCGATATACAGTATGGTTTTAATCGAAAAGTCATTCTTGAACTAGAGATGGTTTGTCAACGCAACTGGAGCTCGTAGAAGCACACAACATATTTGCGCGAGCACAAAGAGACGGGATATATTCTTTACCCGTCTCTCTTTCTCTCTTTCTCTCTCTCCCATGAAAAAACATTTATAAAATCTTAAAGATCCTATAATACATATAAAATACTATACCGCCAGGTGTTTGTAAGTGTCACCGTTCGCACGCTGCGCGTATACAAAATTTAAATTATCCATAAAAATATGGAGCGGAGCCGAGTCTTTATTTTCTACGGAAACACCGCAAAAATTCGGGCGACCAGGTAGTCGACTTTTGTCTCCGTAAAATGTAAATCGGTGTAAAACCATCTAGAAACTTGTACAAGCTCGATCTTTTCTTTTTATTTCCATTCATTGTCCGCAAAATCTAATACTGAGTCTGGAAGAAGCCAAGCCAAGCCAACTGTTTTTTGTGAAAATCGTAGACGCGCGGCTATCAACAAAATAAATATGTCTCTGCTTCTTTCTTTTTTTTTATTAGATACGCTTGTACTTTTATTTTAGGATATTAGTCAGGATATTCGCCATATGGTTCTTTTCGCACTTATCACAATACAGATTACTTAACCGAATGTCGTAAATATTGTAAAAGTATGTCGAGTCGTCTTAACAAACATGTAACCGAATTATTAGACTGTACAGTATATATATGTATATATATATATATATGTGTGTATGTATATATATATATATATATATATATATAATAATAATATGCGAGAGTAAAGGAAGATACAATTAAAACGGATTAATCGCACGCTCATGAAAAATTGCACAAATCTGTCCGAAATGGGAAGATAATGATAGAATATTATCGATCGTTCAATGCGAAAAATCGATTTTTATCTCAAAATAGAAGAAACACCGACAGCACATTTAGACATGAAAATTATTGTTAATCATATGTATTGTATCCGGTAATCGCTTTTCCATAATTTAAATTGTGCATACGTCTAACAATCATAATTAGAATTGTTCTTCTAAGTGGGCTCCTTAAATTAGACGAGCAATGTATGTATCTATATGTATATATCTATAATCAAATGCATCTCATTATATTTTTCCGCTAGTTATTTAGAAAAGTTCATGAATTTATCGCTTCGTTATCGAAGCAGCTCTCTCGTTTTTCAACAAAATTCGATGTTTGAAACAAAAATAACTGTCAAAAGACCGTTTCAATACGAAATTACCCAAGCAGAACAAGTCACAATAATGTCATTTTAATGTTAAAATGCATCGAAAATTCTAAAAATGTTCCCAGAACATCTCTTGGATAAGGATGTTATGTAGAATAAATGATTTTTAATAATTTTGGAGCCATTTTGATGTCACTATGACTTTAGATTTGTTCGAGTTGCTTGAAATCTTTAAAAATGTTTGCATTTAAAACGAAGCAAATATTATTTAATGCTTTTTTACAAATATAGTTTAATTTTAATCTTGATTCAATTAACTTTCATCTTTTTCTAATTCTTAGAAAAGAATTAGAAAAAGATGAAGAGTAAGTTGAATCGAGATTAAAGTTAATCCACATTGGTGGAAACGGGCATTAAATTTTTAGAGTGAATTTCAATGTAGAAAATATATTCGGATGTTGGAGAGAGACAGAAAAAGAAGATATTAAGTGCAAGCAACGCGAACAGACCTTTTATGTTCTACCTGGATATGTTCAAACTTCAAACTGATCAACTTCAATCTCCCCTGCATTTAGTAACTATGTTTCAAAATCATTTCGTGATATTCTCTTTCAACGTATATTCAAATTTGATCATGCAACAGCGATTGTTCGTAACGAATGAAGAAGTTTTTTCAATTTTTCGCGAATTATACGTTTCGAAATCAAAGCGCGAGGCCATTTAAACGAAACATTTTATCCACTTTTGCCAATGATAATTAACTTTAATCTCGATTTAACTTACGCTTGATCCTTTTTTAGAACTAGAAAAAGATAAAAAGTGAGTTAAAACAAAATTAAAGTTAAACTATACATTGGTCAAAACGGGCATTATAGGGGCATTAACGAGCATTATATTTTGAAACGCTCGTTAACGCTCGAAGATTTGAATCGCGACTACCTTCAGTGTGCATTCGCGCCGCATCCGTTACGGCCGTAACTCTCGCGAGCGCGAAGTTTCCCGCGTCGCAAAACGAGTATAATCCCGCGTATAATCGTGTCTTCGGCGGTGGACGGGGTACACGAACGTGATTCTTATCATCCGCAGTTACCAACGCGCACTTCCGAGACTGCTCGGAGTCGTCGAAGTGTCCATCATCGTCGCGGGCGTAGCACAAAGACCCGGTGAGTAAACCTAACTTGTACTGCGTCATATTTGGATTTCAAACGACGAGAGACGCACGGTCGTCCACCGTTTCCCGATTAATATATCGGGAATACGGCGAATCTGATATGTATTTTACGACACGCTCGCTACGTGCACGCCGGGAAAATATACCGAAGTGATATACTTCTACGGACGACAACGTTTCGAAAATATATATGTGTATGTATATATCGCAATATGACTCTACAATTTGGAAAAAGTACATTCCTTCGAAATCACATATAAGTACGCATGCAAATAGTCGAGAGAAAGAGAAAGAGTATATAATATGTATATACGTAGATGTACGTTACACGTGTAAAATTTTGGAAAATATCGCGTTTCGCGCGTGGAAGGATCGTCATCCGGGAAAAAATGTTTCATATATGTATATAATTATATATAAAAATTGACATATTTGATACACAATTATATATAAAATGTGTCCATGTATATATATATATATATATATACATATAAAACATTTTTTTCCCGGACATTTCCGAAGTTGACTTCGAAAAGCGTATCGTTTCTCTCAACAAATCCTGTCAAACGCAAATTGTGTTGGCTTGGCATTTCGGGGTGCTGTGTACACATCCTGGAAGCTCATACGTAGTTAACGCGCGTTGGAGTCGACAGAATTACAGACAGTAGATATATATCCAAAAAAATGCTATGTTAAACTACGCTACACTGATATCATTTAGTGTGAACATCACTCGGACTGGACCTCATTGTATATACCTGGGCGGTCGTCTCGTTCTACGTTTACCGTATTATTCTTTTTATCCTGGCTCAAGCACACCTATTAGGTACAAACCGTGATAACCGGAGTCTGATTATGCGGAATAGGAAAGACATTCTCGTGCTTGAGTGAGATATTAAAACTGCGCGTAGAATAGATAGACAGTTAATTATGAGATACGGTAGCTGTCGCTTGTGGAAGGTGTATGGCCTCTTCAAGTTGCTCACTGCAGTTATATTATAAGGCCATCAGCGAGAAATCATGTAAAGCTATTTTTCGTATAAAAATTAATTTTTTTGGAGGCTTTTATTTGCTTGATAAAAAATGTAGATTGTGACAAAGACATTTCAATAATGCGAGAAAAATTTATATGATTTTTTTCGTCTTGGACAATTTTCGCTGTGGATAATTCAATAGAACTGCAGCGAGAAAACAGGAGGCATAATTATATCTTAAACAGAATCAGTGAATCGGTCCCTCAGACCATAACAAATATGCTCAATTATAATAAGATTTAAAAAATAACTAGTAATATCAAAATATCGAAGTAATTAATTATTCAACAATGTTTGAGATAAAATCAAACTTATTAAGATGCTCATCACTTGATTCTTGCTTACAAGAAAATCTTTTAAGACAGAAAAATTAAAGAATCTACTGTGTGAATTAAAAATAAATTTATAAGTAATCTGAGCAACCGACACAGTTTCTTGATTTTTTTCTTAAAACTATTATAGAAACTAACATGATTTTTCGTTATATTTTACATAAATATATACAAACACATTTTCTCTTATGTCAACAATAATTCTCATAATTGTTATACTCTAATATTGAACAAATATACATATATACACATATATGTATATACATATGTATATATGTATTTATATGCATATATGTATTTATGTATAAGTTTTATATACCAATTTAAAGTATAATAATTTGTAATATTAGAATACTCTTCAATATGTCGAAAGTAACGCATTTGTGCTTTAAATATAGAATCACATACCAGTCCATTGCACCTCATTTACTACAAGAAACACTATCGTGTATATAAATATTATAATCATATCAGATACTCGAATTACGTTTCTTTTCTTTTGCATTTTATGCGTTATACGTACTAATTTCGAAAGAAAAGATTTAAAAGCTTTTAAAGAGGATTAAATCAAATTATATCTGTTTGTAATATAAACAGGCAATGTTAGAAATGATGTGATAAAAGAAACATGCTCGAAATCACCGTATTTATCGCCGTCGTGATGAACTTAATATATGTGTATTTCATTACATACATATTCATGCGATAATATATTCCAGGTTCATATTTTTTATGTTAGTCCTCAGAAATTTGCGAAATATTTCAACAATGTAAAATTATTTTATATTTGCAGCTTTTTAAGAACGCTTCATTTAAATTTTTGCAATATTATAATTTTCAAGAAACGTTTTTTCAAATGTAAACATCATTAATGGTATAACCTATTGAAATAGTTTTTTAAGACGACCGAGACTTTTTCATTAGGATATCTCTGTGATGCATTCCATATATGATACATTATAACCACGATTTCTCTAAGTAGTATGGCAACCACTCGAAAAATTCTTTTCGCACGCTATATTGTTTTGGCACTATGTATCCTCTATCCTTTGTCTTTTGTGATCTTCCTTCACTACGGATTCGTCCATAATTCTTTTTTGAGTATTCTCTTTTTCCTAGAATCCGTCTCAATATTATGTTCAACAAAACAGTGTACCTGTAATTCATTTACAGTACGCATAGATACGGGGCAAACTTGGCACTTGTACGATTGTAAACTGTCTTCCGGTCTTGCGTCTTCCGGAACGACCACCGGAATTGATCGCTGCTCTTTAACAGAGTAATCACGTCTATGCTGATTGAACTGAGGACTGCGGAGGCGAACGTCGTTAATGGCTTTCGGTTTCTCGGGGACGATTGACATGTGATATGGTCGAGAAATGTCTGCGTCTGTTGTCGCTTTCACGTATGTTGCATGAAGTGCGTGCTGCGGTATAGGCTCACCCTCATCTGACGAAGTCTCACTGCCACTCACGACCGGTCCGGGCAGAGTTTCCGAGTCCCACTGCGCGATTTTCGCTGGATCCTTTTCGCCTAATCTTTGAGCCAACATCTGTCGAGGATAAAAAAAAGTTCATTTTATCGTGATGTTTTTTCTTTGTTAAATTTAAAAACCGCGCGTAATTATGATTTCATTATTACGAACCTGCAGACTATTAAGACTATTATCACAGTCTGTAGTATCGATATCATTCAAGTTGATGCCAGACCTTTCCATCTCTGCATATGTTCCAAAAGGCAGTTTGCCCAAGCATTCTAATTTCATGATATGCATCTTGCTGCGAAGATGCTTGGCCAAATGTCCATGTATTCTGAATGCTACCTTACAATCTGTACATTTGAAAGGTCTGGGATTGCTAGTAGTCGCTGCACCAAACGTAGAAGTCATACTGACCTAATAATACAATAACACTACTCGTACATTCGTGCTAAAAGATATAACGTTGCTCGATGGAAATAAAGTTGATTCGTCGTTTACCTTATTGTGATGGGAAACGGATCTTTCATGTTTCGTCAAGTGGCCTTTAGTCCGGAAGGAAACTGCACAGTTTTCGCATTTGTATGGCCGCTCAAAATAATGAATGTTGAGGTGCAACCGTAACTGACTAGGCTTACTGAACACCTTATTACAAATCCCACATACACTCCTACCATCTTCTGTGACACTGTAATCATATTTCATAATTTCAGTTTTTACAATTAAAATTATTTTGATAATTCTAACGAATAAAATTTGAATATTATTATAATATATATTATATACATTTCGATTTGTGAATTGAGAATATTTATAAACACAAATATGAGTAGCAATAACATAGACGTTCAACCCTTGAATCAAGACTCTTGAGTCAAGACACAGTTAAGTGCACACGTACCCGGTAAATATATTTAGTCGATTTTCTCAAAAACAAAGCATTATATGGAAAAATTTTATTCTATATTTTCAGTTTATTTTTTCATGTATCATTCTATGTTGCGTTAGAGATATATATTAAATTAGTATACTTTAATATGTATTTCTAACGCAACATTAAATAATATTATTAAATAATTTATGTGTCAACAAATAGTAAGAGAAAATAATTAAAAATATTTTCCTACCTGACATAGTTAGGCGCGGGTCCACTCGACGGTTGTAGAAATTCCGCTTGCGGTTTCGCGTTTACTGTGTTTGGTGAAGGCGATTGAAAATCTGACCCACCGACGACTATCTTTCCGGCTACCGCATGTTTCATGCTATCTAATGCATTCTGTTTAATTATGTCTGCAGTGTGTTTCGTATCATAATAAAGAATTCGTACTTTTTGCGGTGACGTGCTTCTCACGTCTACGTTCTGCGACTTGGATGGTTCGTGTATAGACTGTAATATTTCGTAATTGGCACGTGGATCTTGCGCATGCGTTCTGTATTCCGCGAGAGCTCTCATATCACGGCTCGGCGGTCTATTATCTGGATTTGCTTGCCGGATTTCCATGTTTGCCGATGGCATAAGCTCCTGAATAACTTGCATATCGTGAACGAACGATGGTTTGTACTCACGGCTAGGCGGTCTCATTTCTTGACCGCGTATCTTGTATTCCTGTTGACTCGGTAGCCTCAATTCCTGATTCTGTGTTCTGTACTCTTGACCGGGCGTTCTGATCTCTCTACTAGGCGGCCTTAGATCGAGATTTCGTGGACTATGATTCTGCATTCGAATATCATTAGTCGCGGTTCTCATCTCGTGATTAGCAGATCTTACTTCCTGACCAACAGGATGGCATTCCCTAGGTCTTTCTATTTCACTCACCATCTTCATCGCGTTGAACATGGAATTTCTGTCAATGTCGTTGTTCGTATGTTGCATCAATTGTGGTCGATTATTGACGTCCATATTTAAAGATTTCGGTGAATGACAATCAATACTGGATGTGTTGCGAACAGGTACAATAGAACAGTTCGATCTCTCGATCGAACTATTGTTCCTGGTCATGGCTAGACCATACTCAATACTTGGTCTTGTGCTAGCGGGACCGTTAGTAAGACCAAGCTCAAAATTTTCACGATCAGAAACCATACGATTAGTCTGTTCTTTATTCTTGTGAATAGCCTCGTAATCGAATGTTCGTCTTTCCATTGCCATATTGTTCTGATAAATCTTCTCCCTAATTTCCATCTTAATGTCGTCACTGGTATGCTTCGTCATTGGTTTAATCCTAGATTCCATAACGATATGCTGCATTTTGCTAGGATCAGTATACGTCACCGTCGGAATACCGTTGGAATCTATATGCCTGGACCTATTTTGATCCTGATGACGCAGGTAAATATCTCTTTCCTGTATCTGCTTATTGTCCTTGGTATTTCCCACGCGATACTGTTGCTTAATTTTGCTGTCCATCACATGTCTCTCCGTGAGGTAGGCCTGCAACATGTGGCCCTCCGCATCCGGTTTCCATTCTCTACCCTGTATAGGCAGCCGTTCCATTGTTTGGACTATCGTCTGCAATAAGACCGGCTCCGAAACGGGTGTCAGAATGTCCGCGTGTCTAACTCTTCGCGGGACCGGCGAGGGCAACACCTGAGTGGTCTGCTTCGTCGTGAGATCCATGGGCTGCGACAGCTGATGACGTGACTCCGTGACTTCGGTGATTTCCTCGATCTCAAAGTCAGAATCATCTTTCTTTGACGATTGGATGACACTGATCCTCGTTTCTTCCGTCGTATTTCGGTTTGATGGGAAGTAATAACGATGCGATAATTCATTTTGGATCAAAGTTGTTTCTTGCGTGGTGACACTTTGACTGATGGTAGACGTAGCCGCGGTAGTGGACACGATGCTCATCGTGGAAGTCGTAGGTAAAGTTAGCGTGTATGGATACGTTGTGGGTCTACCAGACGGCAACAAGCCGGGCAATCTATTCGACGTGTTACGTTGTGAAAGACTGAGTAGACTTTGTGCTGCTTCTTGCTCCTCGCTGCCCGATTCTTCGCTTTCTTCTCCGTCACTTTCTTCCTCCTCCTCTGAAGATTCTTCCGTGTTACCGCCACCAGCAGCTAATCGCGCGATAGCCTCCTTGTCGATATTTTCGTCGCAGACAGTTGTAGGAACTGGTACTACGCCCAATTCCACACACTTTTTGTAGTGAGCTTTGGACTTCATGTGTTTCGTAAGATTACCCTTTGTTTTGAAACTATTGCAAAAAAATTATAATTCCGTAAGTAGGTTATCAATGTTACAAATAAAGTTAGAAATATAAATGATTGCTCTCTTGCTGTAATATTTGCATCAACTTACCTAAAGGTACAATGCTTGCAAGTATACGGTCTAACATCCGTATGTGTTCTGATATGTTTCTTCAACATAGATGGTTTTTTACAACGAATACCACATTCTTCGCAGACATAACGTCCTCGTCCTTAAGTAATATATGAAATAATTGAAGATTTATTTTTACAATATTAAGATTATAGCTGTAAAGTCTTAGTAATAAAAATTGAAATAAATTAGATTAATAGTTATGAAAAGAAGAGCATAAAAATCACCGCACAAGATATTGTTTGTGATATTTAATTATCATTACACGTTTATACATAGTTATATTACATGACGGTTGAATTTAATGTTAGATATATGTAATTTTGCGTTTTAAGAATATTGTGAATTTACTGAAGATGGCCAGATTGTGACCGAAACGTCTAATGTTTTATTAATGTAATGATAATTAAATATCACAAACAATATCTTGTGCGGTGGTTTTTATGCTCTTCTTTTCATAAGTTTTGATTTATAAATGTTTGTTTTTATTATGTATTTAGATTAATAGATAAAAATATAAATTATTAAATTATATTTCATAATAAAATAAAATAAAATAAAATAATATTTTAATTTTAGAATAAGAACGTTAAGCAAATTTGGAGATTGTACAAATTTTGTTTTATTTTGAAAAATAACATTTAAACATTCCTCACCTCTTCCGCGCACATAGGTGTAATCTTCGTTACTCTCAAAACCTCCGTCAAATATCTTCACTCTTTTCGTCTTCTCCTGCATGTCACTCTCCAATCCACTGTCCGGACTGGTGGGAGTGGTTGGTCTTTGCGAAGAGTGAGTTAAAATAGCTTCTTGTTTCTTCCAAGCGGTCGTGTAATTGAGAGGTCTATGTCGAGAGTCGTAGTGTGCCATGTCCACATCTAGTGGTGCCTCCTTGCATATCTTCCAATTGGAGTACATCGACAGACCGTGCTGCTGTGTGACATACATTGGCTGCGGTCGATTCAAGGTACAATAAAACACCCTGGTGGAACATTTAAGACCTAGATATGTGTAAGCATGCCCATTTAGATATAATTGTCCATACGACTTCTTGGGTCGCGGAGTCTCCGGACTGATGAGAGGAAGCGTGTTCGCCGTAGGCGTGATCCCGTGATGCTTCTTCGGCGTAAACGTGCCGGGTTTCAATGGTAGAGACGTGGGTCTCAAGAACTTATTAGCATTAATTGTTTCTTTAACGACGTCGCCGCTCTTCGGCGATTTGGCCTCGGGTTGTTTGTCCTTAACAATTAATTCTACGGAAGTTTTCGTTGGCACTTCTGTCTTGGAAGAATCTAAGTTTACAAGTATTACCGATGACGCGTTGTCGGCCTTTATCTTAGCGCCATTGAATGCGCCGTATCCGTCCGCGACTTTAATCCATCCACGTGTATCCGAAGGGACACTATTTTTTAATCGACCATTCTCGTGAACAGGTAAGTCTAACTTAGAGATTGCAGTGTGCGTATCTATTGGGAGTGCTCTACCAGCATCAACTTCACTGACACCCCAATTCGATGATCTCTTCTTGTTTTCCGAAATGGTCTTGGGCGAGTATCTCATCTTGTTGTAAGAGTTCGAAGAAATTGTGGGATCTACGCCATTTGGATAACTAAAAGTCTTGTCCAACTTTGGACTCTTGTCGTATGTAAAATCCTTTCTCTCTCGCGGACTCTCTATACTCCTGTATTTTACGGCCGTATTATTTTTGATATGACGATCGAGCTCTGCTTTGCCGGTCTCTCCACCGGTGAGAGTTGACGGCATCCTCGTGCGATACTTGTCTGTCGAAGTTTCGACCTTGACGTTAGGAACTTTGGGACTG